CTGGGGGACACTGGGGGGTGAAGGGGGGGTCTGGGGGTGTCCCTGGGATGGGGTCGTGGGTGGGGACCCTGGGGTGACCCTGGGGTGGGGGGACAATGCGGGGGCAGAAGGGATTTGGGGGTTTGGGGACACAGGGGTTTAGAAATTTGGGGGTTTGGGAATTCAGGAATTTGGGGGGTTGGGAATTTGGGGGTTTAGGGACATGGGATTTGGGAATTCAGGAATTTGGGGGTTTGGGGACATGGGGATGTGGGAATTTGGGGGTTTGGGATTTCAGGAATTTGGGAGTTGGGGGATTTGGGAATTTGGGTGTTTGGGGATGTGGGGACATGGGGACACAGGGATGTGGGTGTGAGGGGACTTGGGGACATGGGGACGGGCCCGAACAGGGGGACAGAGCCAGGACACGCGTGTGCTCCATGGGACGGAGCCAGGCCACGCGTGTGCTTCAGGCGACGGAGCCAGGCCACGCGTGTGCTCCAGGGTACGGAGCCATGACACGCGTGTGCTCCATGGGACAGAGCCAGGCCACGCGTGTGCTCCAGGGGACGGAGCCAGGCCATGCGCCTGCCCGCGGTCACCGTGTCACCACACGCGTGGGATCGCGGCCCTGGTGTCACCACACGGTGTCACAGCGCACGGTCACCGTGTCACCGCACCCAACCCCGCTGCCACCTCCGGCCATCCCGGTGCCACCTCCGGCCATCCCGGTGCCACCTCCCGCGCGTGCCCGGGGTCGCTGCGGGGCAGGAAAGGCCCCGGCGCCAGCCCATTGTTCCCCCCCTCCGCCCGCCACTTCCCCCCCGGCCACGGAAATGTCCCCATTGTCCCCAGGGGGGCACGGCGGGCACGCACCCGCGGGGACAGCGGGGACACGCGGGGACAGCGGGGACAGCGGGGACAAACCCCCCCCCCGTGCGACCCCCGGTGGGACGCCCCGGGCACGGCCGGTGCTGCCGCGGGGGGTCCCAGGGGTGTCCCTGGGGGTGTCCCGGGGGGTGTCCCCACGGTCCCCTGGGCCCTCCCGAGCCCCCCGGAGCCCCCCGGGCCCGGCCCAGCTGCGCGGCCGCCGTTGCATCAGCGGCGCTGGAATGCGGCGGCTGCCGGGCGAGGCCCCCGACCCCGGCCCCTGCACGCCCCCAGCCCCCCCTTGCACACGCGGCCGCGCGCCCCGCACGGGTCGGGGGTGTCCCCGAGTGTCCCCGCGTGTCCCCCCCTTTGCACCAGCACGGGGGGGCTGCACACGCGCCCCGTGTCCCCCTGGGGGGGTCCTGCTGTCCCCTCATGTCCCCCCAAGGAGGTGCCAGCGCCGTGTCCCCCCCTGGGAGTTCTGTGTCCCCCTGGGGGTCCTGTCCCCCCCCCGGCCCCCCCCCCCCCCCC